TGTGTGTGTGTGTGTGTGTGTGTGTGTGTGTGTGTGTGTGTGTGTGTATTGTGGCAGAGCTCTGACCTTGTCCCCATGGGTCCTGCGCTTCTATGCTAGCCTCAGTGGCTCTCTGTGACCCTCCACGTAGCCCTTCTCTCTCTAGGGCCAGGGTTACAGTCTACTAAGCCCTTTTCATCATAAGCCAGCAAGGAGGTTGGTGAGAGATCTCCCACAGTCTCTGTTGTCCCTAGGGCTTGTTTTAGAACAGTTTAGCCTCCTGTCCTGACAGGGGCCTGACTTCCCCTCTCAGGAGGTGTTCCTGTAGTGGTGGGTTGGGGGGAACCCGGGCCCACCCTCTACTCGGGTTCCGGCCCAGGGACCCTAATGGTAGCAGCTGTTGGCAGCCAACCTTTCACTGCCAGAGTTGCTACATTTCCCTGGGCCACTTCCCCACAGCTCTCCTTCTTCTCCCTTACCTTAGGGCTCCCTTATCAATAACTTGAGGGTGTCTTCATTAACCAGTCCTTCAGCCACATTTCCTCTCCCTGGCTCCCCTCTGCCTGACTGGAGTGAGCCCTTTTTATAGTATCAGCGGGGCCTTAATTAGAGTCAGGTGGTCACATTAGCTTAATGGCCTCACCTGACTCTTTGCAGGTTAATTGGAGTCAGATGTTCTCATTAGCCTGGAACAGCCCCTTCTCTGGTCAGTCAGGGAACAGAAAACTGTTAATCCAGTGGCCAGTATATCTGCCTTCTGCTATTCTGTTGTACCCAACTGGCCTGGGTCTATCACAGTATATATATAAATAGTCTTTTGTTTGGTGAAAATTTTTTTTCCTGGAACCTAACCCCCTCATTTACATTAATTCTTATGGGGAAATTGGATTTGCTTAACATTGTTTCGCCTAAAGTCGCATTTTTCAGGAACATAACTACAATGTTAAGTGAGGAGTTACTGTACTGAATGTTGATGACAACTGCGTATGTGCGAAGAATGCAAGAAGAAAACAAAATGTTGTAAGACCCTTGAGTCCTCAGTTGTGTAAATTTGTCATTCTCTTAAAGCAGTGGTGCTGACATATACCTAAGCACAGCCTTATGTGGGTCAAGCAGGTTCTACATATTTTAATAAGATTTCAAGGCATCTGTATTGATTTATATTTTAAGTTCAGCTTATCTCGTATGTATTTAGATAGAAAGAACCTATGTACAGTATTGTTTATTTAAAAACAAAGAAATCAGTGCATAAGACATGAATTATAGAAAACAGGGAAAAAACAGTAAAGATACTCCTGATACTTCCTTGTGTAAACTAAAGTGATGTAAGCATGATGACAAAACACTAGTGAATCGGCCGTTAGTCTATTGTGTTGAAGCAGGCCAGGGGCCTTATGAAATGCTGTGGTGGGCCATGTACAGCCCGAGGGCCATAGGTGGGGCACCCCTGTTTTAAAGTATATTTATACATGGAAAGTGCATATGTAAATGGCACATTAATCCTTAGTGTCATTCCATAGAATGTGTCCTTATATCTTTTTGCATATAACCATTTACTCTGCATTTTCACGTTTGCTTCATGCTGGTTCTGGGAGGTCAGCTCAGCTGTCTGGAGACGTGAAAGTCATGAGAAATGTTTATACAAACAGCAGAATCTGACAGCCGGAGCGAATACAATGACTCCCTGCTTCAGCTGATGCGGGGTTTGAACCTGCGTCCTTCAGCACTCAAAGCATGAGCTTCCACAAGTCACAAGGAGGGAGGCTTCTAATTCCCTAAGACCCTTGACAATCCCAGCCTATAGGGCTCATTGTTATCCCCATGAGATTGCCCTACGCTAGGAGGATCCCCGGAGGATGTTTAAGGCCCTAGTCCAGTGCTTATCATTCAGCATGTGAGTAGCCCTGGTGAGATCAATGGAACTACTCGCATACTTAAAGGTACGCTCATGCTTAAATGCTTTGCTGGCTCAGGTCCAGAGTGCCTGATGCTGCAGGACTGATCTCTAAGCCAGCGTCATGGCTCCCTGGTGCTAGAGGCTAGAAGGAGCTGTGCCTCTGACCCAGCATCCGCCTGGATGACAGCTGTGCTCCTGAGCTCTGCTGGGGGGAGGAGAGGGGCCAAAGGCAGATGTCAGTTGGGTGGGGGAAGACATAACCTCGTTTATAGGTTAGGGAGGCCTCTCTGTACCACATGATGGGGTCTGTTGGGCTCCTCGGCTGCTCCTCTTTGGGGACCGGCAGGATGAAGGCCCACAAAGAGCAGTCTATGGGGGGATGTAATGTTAAAAAGGTGTCTGGATCTCTTTCCCACGTTCTTCCAGAGACCCTTGTTGTGCAGCTGGGTTCTCCCTTTTACCGTTTGGTCCTGAGCAGCCAATCCACCCTTCTGACCAACATCCACAGACTGTGCTGGAGCTTGCATGGCGTAGGCAGCTCTCAGCATTTTCTCCCAGCCTCTCTGTTTCTAGAGTTGCTGGTTCTATAATACGTGTTTTCGTGATTCAAATGGCAAGTGTATGTTTTTAAACTTGGGATTTATTTGTGTCAAGATCACAAGTTTAGAGACGGAGTTACTCAGAGCACAGATGAATAAAACTGAAGCCAGCATGAAAGATCAAGAAACAACTAAAAAAGTGCAAGATTTCCAAGAGGTAAGAGAACTTCGCTGAGGAACCAACTGTTCTGGTTAAAAATGCTACGAGGTGGGTACTTGCTTTTCCCATGCAACTGTTCCGGAACCATCAGCCCTTCTTCAGTTCCTGCCATGGGAATCGCATCTTTGGCATCTCTTCCTCCTGCAGTTTGCCCAGCATGCTGCAGCAATACTAATCTGGCATCCCTTCCCCTCTGACCCTGTCCCCCACCCCCATGAATCCCTTCTCGGGCTCCCTGAAGCTTAAACTCCCTGTCCTTCCTTCTGAGGCACTACACAGCTCTGCTCCCATCCAGTATGTCACCCTTAACTTCTGCCTCCTTCCCGTCTCCTGATCAACGCCCTGCCGGCGCCAGCTGCCTCCTTCCCGTCTCCCGATCAACGCCCTGCCGGCGCCAGCTGCCCCCTTCCCGTCTCCCGATCAACGCCCTGCCGGCGCCAGCTGCCTCCTTCCCGTCTCCCGATCAACGCCCTGCCGGCTCCAGCTGCCTCCTTCCCGTCTCCCGATCAACGCCCTGCCGGCTCCAGCTGCCTCCTTCCCGTCTCCTGATCAACGCCCTGCCAGGCCCAGCTGGGCAACAATTTTTGCCCAAAATTGTTTTTCACCAAAAAATGCAGATTTGGGTTGACCAAAACATTTCACAAATTCACCAAATTATTATATTAAAAAAAACTCTGAAAAACTGAAACATTTCAGTTTTTCAATTCTAAACTACTTCAATTTGATTGAAAAAGAGATAAAAGAAACCCCAAAATCAAAATGATTTGTTTGACCTGAAACAAAAATTTTCTGACTTCTTTGGTTTGCCAAAAAATTCAAATAATTTTCATTTCAAGTCAGCCCAAAGCTAATTTTTTTTTCTCAGTTTAGCCAGGAACTGAAAAAATCAATTACTTGCACAGTTCCACTGTTGACACTTCTCCTTTCCCATAATCTCTTTGTCTCCTGCGTCTCCTCTGGCCCTTTCTTCAAGCTGCCCCAGGGACTGGAAGGGTGTTATTACTGCAGCAGTATATTAATTAATGGCATGGGGAAAGGGATAATCTGTCCCCTCTGACCTCTCTCATCAAGTTCCTTCCATCATTACTGAGTTAAAACCCCACCCCTGGCACGCTAGGATTTTTTGCATGGTCTATATCAGGGGTAGGCAACCTATGGCATTCACACTGCCCGGGTCCAGGGGGCTCTGCATTTTAATTTAATTTTAAATGAAGCTTCTTAAACATTTTAAAAACCTTATTTACATTACATACAACAATAGTTTAGTGATATAGTATAGACTTGTAGAAAGAGACCTTCTAAAAACTTTAAAATGTATCACTGGCACGGGAAACCTTAAAGTAGAGTGAATAAATGAAGACTCGGCACAGCACTTCTGAAAGGTTGCCGACCCCTGGTCTATATATTGTCTGTGATTCTGATCTGTTGATGATCTCTGAGAACTAGCACTGGACAAGGTAATTGAGGGTTCTTGGCTGGGATTTTCAATTCTGCCTAGGGGATTTGGATGCCTGGGTTGCCATGGGAATTGGGAATCCAAATCCTGGCAGCAGCTTGGAGAATCCCAGCCCTCGTCTTTCTAGTGTATGAAAGCCTGTGGATGTGACTCATAACAGATGCTGCTGTTGAACAATTGCAGATGCTGAAAAGCCACCAGGAGAAGGTTGAAGTACTTGAAAGTAAATTATCAGAGGAGAGAGATTGGAGAAAGCAACTTGCATCTGACCTTGAAAAGACACAGAAAGCTTTGAAGGCTGAAAAAAAGGTATTGAATGGCCGGACATGTATTGTGGTGTGAAGCTGTTCTCTTGGGGAATGCTTACTAATTCTGCTGTATTCTTGAACTAGATGGCCACCTCCGTCTTTCTAAAAGACCCCACAATGTTCCACATATAATTTTGTTTGGCCTTTAGTTAAATACCCATCTCTATCAAACAGACATTTCTGAAGGTCTCTTTGGGTTGCTTTGAATACAATTGTTTACCATGGCTTTCCTAGGCCACTCCTCTGGCTTTTTCCTCCATAATTTATCCCATCTTATTTTTCCTTTCAGTCAATGGTATAAAACAACAGCAAAAAAACTTTACTGCCAAATCGAATTCCGCTGGACCAAGAAAAACAAACTGAAGTCAGGTAGAGCATCCTGAAAGCTTGGAGCCCAGTAATTGCAGAGGACTAGATTGAGGACCCCTTACTCACACTGATGAGTACTTATTGACACAGAATTGCCAGAATGTCTCCTATTTAAACATCCAAGGACTGTGGCTCTTTTTGTCACACTATGCTGGTGTCCGTGTGAACTACATTCTTTGTTTCTAGATGTATGACCTTACATTTGGCTGTATTAAAACATAAGAAGGGACAAACTGGGTCAGACCAATGGTCCATTGAGCCCAGTATCCTGTCTTCTAACAGTGGTCAGTACCAGGTGCTTCAGAGGGAATGAACAGAACAAGGCAATTATCGAGTGATCCATCCCCTGTCATCCAGTCCCAGCTTATGGCAGTCAGAGGTTTAGGGACACCCAGGCATGGAGTTGCATCACTGAGCATCCTGGCTAATAGCTATTGATGGACCTATCCTCCATGAATTTATCTAATTCTTTTTTTAACCTTGTTATAGTTTTGGCCTTCACAGCATCCCCTGGCAACAAGTTCCATGGATTGACAGTGCATTGTGTGAAGAAGTACTTCCCTTATGTTTGTTTTAAACCTCATACCTATTAATTTCATTGAGTAACCAAGGGTTCTTGTGTTATGTGAAGGGATAAATAACACCTCCCTAGTCACTTTCTCCACTCCATTCATTATTTTATAGTCCTCCATCATGTTCCCCCTTAGTCGTCTCTTTTCTAAGCTGAACAGTCCCAGTCTTTTTAATCTCTCCTCATATGGAAGCTGTTCCAGACCCTAATCATTTTTGTTGCCATTCTCAGTACTTTTTCTAATTCTAATGTATTGTTTCTGAGATGGGGCGACAAGAACTACATGCAGTATTCCAGGTGTGGGTGTACCATGGATTTATATAGCAGCATTGTGATATTTTCTGTCTTCTTATCTATCCCATTCCTAATGGCTACTAACATTCTTTTAGCTTTTTTAACTGCCACTGCACATTGAGCAGGTGTTTTCAGAGAACTATCCACGATGACTCCAAGATCTCTTACTTGAGTGGCAGGGGCGTGTGTGACGTTCCCCTCTAGTGTTATCCGGACCGGTGATCTGCTAGGTTACCCCAATCCTTGACTCTGGGAGCCAGCCTTACCCTGCTCTGCTGTGAGAACCCCCACTCCTGGGCTGTTCATGCACAGCCTCTAGCATGTAAGCGGCTCCCAGCTACTTGCAAGCGAATGACACTAGCCAATATCTCCGGTCCCAGACACAGTCCTAGGAACCTCTGTCTTGCAGTGTCCAGTTATGCCCGCTGGACACTGCCAGCTTATATGAGTTCGTCAATTTAACAAAGAAATTGATATGTACCAGGCTTGTTCTCCCAAGGGGAGCCTCTTACATGCTTCAAACCAAACGCACTGCTTCAGGTAGAATAAACAAACAGATTTATTAACTACAAAGATAAATTTTAAGTGATTCTAAGTCAAAGCACAACAAGTCAGATTTGGTCAAATGAAATAAAAGCAAAATGCAATCTAAGCTGATTTTAACACTTTCAATGCCCTTACAAACTTAGATGCTTCTCACCACAGGCTGGCTGGCTGCCCTTCAGCCAGGCTCTCCCCTTTGATCAGCGCTTCAGTCGCTTGGTGGTTGTGGTGTCTGTAGATGGAGGTGGAAGAGAGAGGAAGAGCATGCCAAGAAGGCTAATGGCATTTTGGGCTGTATAAGTAGGGGCATTGCCAGCAGATCGAGGGACGTGATCATTCCCCTCTATTTGACATTGATGAGACCTCATCTGGAGTACTGTGTCAAGTTTTGGGCCCCACACTACAAGAGGGATGTGGAAAAATTGGAAGGAGTCCAGCGGAGGGCAACAAAAATGATTAGGGGGCTGGAGCACATGACTTATGAGGAGAGGCTGAGGGAACTGGGATTGTTTAGTCTGCAGAAGAGAAGAATGAGGGGGGATTTGATAGCTGCTTTCAACTACCTGAAAGGGGGTGGATCTAGACTGTTCTCAGTGGTACCAGATGACAGAACAAGGAGTAATGTTGCAGTGGGGGAGGTTTAGGTTGGATATTAGGAAACACTATTTCACTAGGAGGGTGGTGAAGCACTGGAATGGGTTACCTAGGGAGGTGGTGGAATCTCCTTCCTTAGAGGTTTTTAAGGTCAGGCTTGACAAAGCCCTGGCTGGGATGATTTAATTGGGAATTGGTCCTGCTTTGAGCAGGGGTTTGGACTAGATGACCTCCTGAGGTCCCTTCCAACCCTGAGATTCTATGATTCTATGATTCATGGCAAATATCTCTCCCTTTTATCATGTCCTTTCTTCCCTCTTGGCTTTGCCCCCCTCCCTTTCAGAGTCAGGTGAGCATTACCTCATCGTAGTCCCAAACTGACCAAGGGAAGGGGGTGACTCCCTGGGGAGTCTAACAGATTATTTTGTTGCTGCCTAGGCTAGCGTCTTTTGTTCCTGTGAGGCTGGGGTGGGTTTGTCCCATACCTGTCCTGATGAGGTGTGAACTGCCCCTCTGTTCCTGGAGAGTTTTGTCTGGGCTTGTTTTAAGCCACAAGGACACATTTTGAGCCTCATAACTATATACATGAAATTACAATCTACAACATTACTATAACATCACTATAACAACCATGCTCAGTGCATCACGAGCCTTCCGAAGACACCCGACATGACAAACTTTGCATTGGACACCACACAATCATATTATAAGGATGAACATGGGGCTGTTGGGTGTTCCCCCGAGGTACAGAGCGTCACAGCGTGTGCAGGAATTTAAATGTCACTGCTTTTGGGGGGGCACCGGTGAGAGGCGCAGAACTCCTCTTGGGGGGAGAAGAGCAAACTCGTCCAGCGCAGGGGCTCAATGGAGAAGTTTGCTCTCCCCACCGCAGCCCAGGAGGAGTTCTGCACCCCTTGCCGGGGACCCTGGGCCAGAGGAGTTCTGCATCCTCTGCAGATTATTGGGGGGGGGCATGCCCCTGCTTTCCCCCCCTTGCGCACACCCCTGTTAAGTGGTAACAGCTAATTTAGACCCCATCATTTTGTACGTAGAGTTGGGATTATGTTTTCCAAATGCATCACTTTGCATTTATCAACATTGAATTTCTTCTGCCATTTTGTTGCCCAGTCACCCAGTTTTGTGAGATCCCTTTGTAACTCTTTGCAGTCAGCTCAGACTTTACTATCTTGAGTAATTTTGTATCATCTGCAAACTTTGGTACTTCACTATTTACCTCCTTCTCCAGATCATTTATGAATACGTTGAACAGTGCTGTCCGAAAGGAGTTGGTTTTACCTCTGTATATGGCATTGGGGAGACCATTACTAGAATATTAAATCCAGTTCTGTGTCCATACTCTAAGCAGGATGTTGACAGATTGGAAGAGGGTTTAGTGAAGAGTTATAAGAATGATAAGAGACAGTTCAGCCTATTTATCTTATTGAAGAGGAAGTTAAGAGGTGTCTTGGGCCACGTCTGTACGTACAGCACTGCAGCTGTACAGATATAGCTGCGCCGCTGCAGCACATCTGGTGAAGACGCTCTGTGCCGATGGGCGAGAGCTCTCCCATTGGCATAAACAGCCCAGCTCCACAAGCGGCAGAAGCTGTATCACTGGGAGAAACTCTCCCGCTGACATAGCACTGTGTGCACGAGCACTTAGATTGGTTTAACTTCCCTTGCTCAGCGGGGTGGTTTATTCACACCCCTGAGTGACGTAAGTTATGCTAACATGGGCTGTAGTGTAGACATAACCTTGGTCATGGTCAGTAGATACCTACATAGGGAGAAAAGATAGTAGGGGACTCTTTAATTTAGCAGACAAAGACAGAGCAAGATCTAGTGGTTGGAAGTTGAAGTCAGAAAGATTCAAACTGGAGGTAAGACAACTTTTTAACAAGGAGGGTAACTAACTATTGGAACAGCTTCCCAAGGGCTGTGTAAACTCATCTCTTGGAGACTTTACATGGAGATTGCATGTCTCGCTAAAAGATCTGCTCCAGTTCAACCTCCAGGGTAATTTACTTAAGGCAGGTTTACACTTAAAACACAGCGTCGGCAAAGCTGCAGCGCTTAAGTGAACACGCTCCTACACCGATGGGAGAGCTTCTCCTGTCAGCGTAGTTAATCCACCTCTGCAAGAGGCGGTAGCATCATCAACAGGAGAAGCTGTCCCTCTGTCACAGTGTTGTCTACACCAGGGGTTAGGTCAGTATAACTATGTTACTCGGGGGTGTGGATTATTCACAGCCCTGACCTGAGCGATGTAGTTACACCGATATAAGTCTGTAGTGTAGACCTGGCTTTAGTAGTTTGCAGTGTTGTTGTAGCCGTGTTGGTCCCAGGATATTAGAGATGGGGGGAAGGGGGAAGGGAATATCTTTTATTGGACTAACTTCTGTTGGTGAGAGAGACAAGCTTTGGAGCTACACAGAGCTCTTCTTCAGGTCTGGGAAAGGTGTTCCCAGCCTCACAGCTAAACACAAGGTGGGACAGATTGTTTAGCATAAGTAGTTAACACGTACTGTAAATCAGAGACAATTCAAGCTGAAGTGGCCAGTTAACACCTTTGCAGTCAAAGGACAAAAAAAGCTGTGTGGAGGGGTGTGGGTAGTAGGTTACAGATTGTTGTAATAAGCCATAAATCCAGTGTCTTTATTAAAACCATGATTTGTAGTGTCTAGCAAAGTTATGAATTTGAGCTCCCGGGCTCATCTTTTGACGGCGTTGTGCAGGTTTTCGTTGAGGATGACGACTGAGAGGTCAGATATGGAGTGATCGGTTTGTGAAAAGTGTTTGCCCACGTGCGATATGGCATTTTGGTCTTTTATCATTTTCCTGTGTGAGTTCCTTTGAGAGCATAGTGATTGTCTGGTTTCACCCACATAGTTGTTGTATGGGCATTTAGTGCACTAGATGAGGTTCACCACATGTTGTGACAGGCATGTGTCAGACCCCTGGATCTTGAGCAGTGTTTTGTGGGAGGTATTGATCATCACAGCAGGGGAGATACGTCTTCTGGGTTTGCATCTGTTGTTCTGGCAGGGTCTGGTGCTGCTTTGAGTTGGTGGGCACTGGTCTGTGGGGAGCTTGCTTCTGCTGATGATCTTGGTGAGGTTTGGGGGTTGTTTGAAGGCCAGAAGAGGGGGTTTGGGAAAGATTTCTTTCAGGATGTGGAGCACATCGAACATGGGTTGTAGCTGTTTAATGATACCCCATATGAGTTCCAGCATGGAGTGGTAGGTGATAACTAGGGGTATGTAGTTGGAGGGTTTTGGTTTTTTCTGTGTACACCCATAACAATTTTACATTCAACAATAAACACTTTGTTCAAACCATGGGAACAGCCATGGGTACTAGGATGGTTCCCCAAAATACCAACCTCTTCATGGTTGTATGCAGAGTTGATGTAGCCATGTCAGTCCCAGGATATTAGAGAGACAAGGAGGGTGAGGTAATATATTTTATTAGATCAATTTCTGTTGGTGAGAGATACAAGCTTTTGAGCTTCCACAGTGACCTGAAGAAGAGCTCTGTGTAAGCTTGTCCATCTCACTAACATGGGCCCTCTTCTTGCGCCATCTTGAGGAAGAATTTTCTGGACAAATGCACCACGAAACCAATGATACACCTGAAGTACATCGGTGATATTTTCATCCTCTGGACAAACAACCTAAACTCCCTCAGAGATTTCCACCACAACTTCAACAATCACCACCTGTCCATCAAATTCTCTCTAGAACGCTCTCAAACCAGCATCAACATCTGGGACACCACAGTCAGTTTCAACAATGAAACCCTACAGACCACTATATACAAGAGATCCATGGATCACCACACTTATCTTCACAGATTCAGTACCCTCCCAAACCCGGGGCGGTGGAGTCTTCCCAAAAGGGGGGAGACCAGGGCCCCCACCCCCTTTGTGGCCCCACCCCTGCCCCTCCTCTTCCCCCCAAGGCCTTGCCCCCGGCCAAGCCAGAGGCCAGAGTGGGGCCGGGGAGCCCAGGCCCCTCTAGCTGCCTGGGGGCGAGGGCACCCCACAGCTGTTCATGCAGCTCTTACCCTGACCCAGTTCCAGCCGGGGGGACGGGGCCTCGGAGCCCAGCCCGGCTATGATAAGAGCCTTCCAGCAGTTGTGGGGAGCTACGGACCCTCCCTCTGCCCAGGGCTGGGAACCCAAGGAGCAGGAACATGGGCTGGGGACTACTCTTGGCCCCCCCCCATGGGCAGGTGGAGGGTCTGCCGCTTCCCACAGCTGCTCGTACTCCCTGGCTGGGCTATGCTTCTGGCCTGTCCGGGGTATGGGGCTTCAGGGGGAAGAGGAGAGGTGGGGGAGCGGGGCCCATGGTGAAAAGTGGATACTCGACCAGAAAAGTAGATTGCATCATGAAACAGGCCACCCAAATACCCAGGAGAACCTGCTTCAATACGAAAAAACCCAACCCTCTGACCGCAGAACCCTAGCATCTTATTCACTGTCAGAGCATGAGGGTTTAGCTTTGGATGGAATGAAGAGTCTAACCTATATCTGGGGTAATGATTTCAGACTGTTCATTTAAATCTTTGTCAGAGCACAGGATGGGCACCTGATGGTTGGGGCAATATCTTTTTTCCTGTAAATCAAAGGAAAACTAAGTAAATGAGGTGTTGTTAACCAGCAACATGCAAAGCCCTATTCACAATCTTTGGAACTTTCTTTTTCCTTAAATACAAGAGATTATTAAATATCTAATCGGAGAAATGACTCTCGTTTAATCTGTGCCTAGAATTAGTGATATGCTTCTTTCACCAACTCCTTTTTCTTTTTAACCAGGAATTACATAATTCAAAGTCGGAGCTCGTGAGTCTTTATAATGAGCTCCAGAATCTCCGAGGTGCGGCAGAAGAAAGAGATTTCCTTAGTGTAACCCATGAGAAACTACAGCACGAAAATACTTCATTGGAAACAAAGGTGAGGATTTCGTGAGATCAGGAGTCTTTCAGTGTTCCATTGACTGACACTGACCAAATCTGACAATTTGCACTTCTCAAAAAGGAACAGGACATTACATGGATAACAAGAATATTCAGTTACTGTAGTTAATGCCGACAAATTTGGGAAGAGATATTAAATTTCATGCTTCAGGATTTAAGCCAATCTCTAACTACTGGGACTTAGCAGGTGTTTTACACCTTCCTTTGAAGCATCTGAGTCTGGCCCCTGTGAAAGACAGGAGACTGGGTTAGATGGACAATGGCTCTGATCCAGTCCGGCAGTTCCTGTGTTCCTAAGCACGTTTATGTTCTCTGAGGCCTTCACCTCCAACTCCTTCCCCACTATTAGCTTTGCATCTTCTTTCATGGTCTCAAGTGCTGGCTCTGTTATTGCCCAGTGTCATTTCATTAGTTCACAGTGAAACTGTAAAGCTTCTATCTCTGTGAGAGACCTTCCTAGTGAACGAAACTTCAATTTTACCATCATTTGTTGATTTTCCCTTGGGGAAATTGAAACAAAATATGTTGCTGCAGGTCCAGTTGACCCAAATTTGAAACATTTCAATTTGTCAAACTGAATCAGAATGTTTTGTTTCGGGTCAGTTCAGCACTAATCTGTGTCCATCTGCGCCGCTGCAGTGGCTCATGGGAGTTGTAGTTTGCATGCCTCAATCCCTTATTCTCCTCTGTGGACGGGGTTCCCTGGCTGGACTACATCTCCTATGATGCACCATTGTAATAAGACTCCTGTGGTGCACCAACGTGTCCAGAGCCTGGATTTGTTAATGCTCTGGGAATGCTGGGATGTCCATCTGTGTTCTCTGTGCATTTGGGATGACTGGTAGTTAGGAAAGAGTTGGCAATCATGCTCAGGGGATTGGCCGGGAGACAGATATTATTCTGTGGTGTGTTACAGTCTGTTAGATAGTGTGTGGATCAGCAGATGTTTTATTACTTTACTTTGTACTTTGTATTTTAAAGTTTGTAATATACCTAGAGCTGTAGATGAGCAATAAGGGTACAAATCCAAATGTGATTTTATGGCAGAGCTTCCCTTGATATAAGTGTAAACTGCTCACTGATTTCCCCTGCACGGTATTGCAAAATATTGAAGAAATATCGGGCACTAGGCTAATTTAGACTTTATATTGCAGATTTACAAGTTTTCTTTAGCTGGAGTCACTAGACCAGGGATCTCAAACGCAAATCACCACAAGGGCCACGTGAGGACTAGTACCTTGGCCCGAGGGCCGCATCACTGAAACCTTTTCATACAACGATACAAAAGTATAGTCAAAAATTTAAGAAATGAAGAGTAATATAGTATGCTATTAAAAGTCAATCTATTAACTTTTAAAAAACTATCATGCAAAGAGGGGTTTTAATAAAATATAAACACCTGTAACTATTCCTTATGTGGTCAGTAACAGTGATGATGATCTACACCAGGGGTCTCAAACACGTGGCCTGCGGACCGTTTCCCGCCGACTCTCTCCTGCACTGCGTAACCCTTTCCCTGCCCCAGTCACAGCCCAAAGTCAAGAGGGAAACTGAGGCTCGCCTAGGAATTATAAAAATGTTACAGAAAATTTCCACTTCGTCACAGACACTGTCCAGTGTCCCAATGGAGAGACCCCTGGGCAATGGGGGGGGACCTCTGGGTGTCCAACACCCCTAACAGAGAGACCCCTGGGCAATGGGGTATGACCCCTGGGTGTCCAGCACCCCTAACAGAGAGACCCCTGGGCAATGGGGGGGGGACCCCTGGGTGCCCAGCACCCCTAACAGAGAGATCCCTGGGCAATGGGGGATGGTGCCCGGTGCCCCTAACTAACAGTCTCAAACACGTGGCCCCGCCCCTACCCCACCCCTTCCCCGCCCCCATTCCAACCCCTTCCCCAAAGTACCCGCCCCAATTCTGCCCCCTCCCTGCCCCTATTCCAACCTCTTCCCCAAATCCCTGCCCCTGCCACGCCTCTTCCCCGCTCCTCCCACCTCCCTCCTGGAAAGTTCTAAACTCTGCCAAACGGCTGTTTGGCAGCGGGAAGCACTGGGAGGTAGGCGGAGGAGCGGCGCGCTGGGGTGGGGGGAGGAGGGGAGCTTGACTGCCGGTGGAGTCGGCGCCTATGGCGGGCCGCAGGAAATAACTCTGCGGGCCGCGTGTTTGAGACCCCTGCACTAGATTTTCTTATACCCCATGAAAGATTTCCATAAGACCATAGAAAATCAGTCTTATGACATTTACAATTCTGACTTTGCAGGTCTCGGAGCTCTCACAGGAATGTGAACAGTTAAACCAGCTTGTAGTGAAACAGAAAATAGATGAAAACTTTACAACAAGTGAAACGACATATAAAGAGCTTATGACTAAAGCAAGAATATTGGAAGAACAGATCCAAATCCTGGGAGGGGAGAGAGAGCAATTATGGTAAATCTTAATAGCACCCTCTGTGTTTTCTGCATTTTATCTTCAGTGACTAACCTAGAAATGTTCAGTTTTTTGAAAATCTTAGCGCTTGTTCTTGTAAAGTGCATGAATGAGAGATGGGCAGATGCCTTTTTTTCTCCTATGCCAGCTCAAATATTCAACAGTCTTGCACTGCAGGCTTTTGCTGAGCCCGAGTCTTCTCTGTCACACTAGTGTAAATCTGGAGTAACTGATTGATTTCCGTGTCGTTACTCCAGATTCACACCTGGGGAAATGAGAGATTGCTCTGGCCCTTTTGGAACACTTTTATTTTGGTTCCCTTCTCAGCTTATGCAAGCTTGCTTTGAAATTGGGTGTAATTCACACCTTTTTGTAGTAAATACAAGTTCTGCGTGTGGACCCTCTGAAACAGAAATAAGAGTCTCCATACACAGACTTGCACCAACATAACTAAAGGAGTGAATTGTGTCAGATTTAGTTTTTCCAGTGCAAGTCTCTGGGTCAAAGTCACCCTATGTAGAACTATTAGCACAAGGCCTGTGAGCCACTTAAGAGCTTCAGTTGTGCCTAGGCATATTGCTGATCCTTTACAATGGTGAATTTTACGTGAGTAATTTGACTGAAGTTTGTTTGTTTGTTTTTTTACTATTTTTACCTCAAGTACCAAGCTATTAGAGAGCAACAAGAAAACCGAGGAGTTAGAAAAGGAGGTGAAGGGGAGCAATGAAGAAAAACAACTGTTACTGGAAGAAAATGCCCAGCTAAGACAAGACATCCTGGCTACAAGGGAACAATTTCACAGCAAGATAGAAGAGGCTGTAAGCATTAAATCTGAGACGAGCCAAGAGAACCAGCCGCTCAACCCCCAGAGCTCTGAATGTAACACAGCATTAAACATGAGCATTAAACAGGTATGAGAGCCTCTTACAGTAAGTGCCACGCCTCCATTTCGAGTGGCTTAACCAGTGTAGGGGCATAAGCTGGATAAAAAGTGGACTTGAACAGTGAAATAGTTTTTATCAGCCAACAAGCCACTGCAACATCATTGCATGCTGTGGAGAACTGATTAATTTACCTGGGTAAAAGATATATATAAAAAAACAAGTGATTAACCAATTTCACTTTCCCATCTTCCTATATGAAGCTTCATAGATTAATAAATTTAAAGCCAGAAGGAACCATTATGATCATCTGGTCTGGCCTCCCACTTACCCCAGGACATAGACAATAATTTCTACATTAAGCCATAACTCTTGTTTGAGCTAGAACATATCGTTTAGAAAGAAAACCAGTCATGCGTTAAACACTTCAAGTGATGGAGAATCTACTTCATCCCTAGGTAAATTGTTCCAGTGGTTAGTAACCCTGACTGTTAAAAGTTTGTGCCTTTTCTCTTGTCTAAATTTGTCTAGCTTCAGCTTTCAAACATTGGATCTTGTTATACATTTTTCTGGTAGATTAAAGAGCCATCTGCTATCAGAAATCTTTTCCTCATATAGGTGTTTGCAGGTAGTGATCAAGTCTTCGCTTAACCTTCTCTTGGATAAATTCACTAGAACAAGCTTCTTTGGTTTCTCACTATTAAGACAGGTTTTTCAGATCTCAAATTATTCCTGTAGCTCTTCTCTGAACCCTTTTCAAATTTACAAAAGCCTTATTGAGGTGGGGACACAGAATGGGACACAGTATCCAGTAATAGTCTCTGTGACGGGTTGGACCCCTCCGCCCCCGCATCCGGGATGCCACCTGATCTGGGGTTTCACTGAGCTCTCCTGCTCCACTAGCCTGGGCTCCCTCTCCCTGCTTTGCTGAATCAGGCTCTCTGGCCTCTGGCAGCACACACAGGCAGGGCCGCCCCAGCCGTAGAATCACACAGAGTCTGCAGGCAGCTCTCTGTGAGAAGACTCAGCTAGGAAATTGCCCAGCACTCATGTGCACACCCCCTCTGGGGAGTAAACCCAAAACAATATTGTCTTGCGCTGTATAGAAAAGTCTGCACAGCGCGAGCTCATAAAAATTCACCCTCTGCCTCATTGTGGAGAGAGATACGCCCAGCTTCTTGCCCCCCACCCCAGATATGAATTGCACAAACTGGGTTATGTTGTAAACAAGAAATAAGTTTATTAACTATAAAAGGTAAATGTTAAGTGATTATAAGGGACAGCAAACAAAACAAAGCAGATTACTAAGCAAATAAAACAAAACACACATACTAAGTTTAAGATCTTAAAGAGACTGGTTTCCAGAAGTAATTTCTTGCTCTAAATGTTGATTTTGGGCAGGTTGCAGAAATTCTTGAAGGTTAGCTACCCTGCTTGCAGCTTAAATCTTCAGGTATCTTATTCACAGACCAGATCCCTTTTCCAGCCTGGGTTCAGTACTCCTCCCACTTTCCCTTTGTCCTTGTTCCTTAGGCCTTGTCTATACTGCCACTTTACAGCGCTGCAACTTTCTTGCTCAGGGGTGTGAAAAAACACCCCCCGAGCGCTGCAAGTTTCAGCGCTGGAAAGTGGCAGTGTAGACAGTGCACCAGCACTGGGAGCTACTCCCCTCATGGAGGTGTTTTTTTTTTTATAGCGCTGGGAGACCTCTCTCCCAGCTCTGATACCGCAACTACACAGCCACGTTAAAGCGCTGCTGTCACAGCTCTTTAACATTGCTAGTGAAGACCTGCCCTTAGGTGTTTCCAGCATTCATCCTGGTTGGGGATTCAGTGAAGAGTGAACCAAGATGAACTTACTCCCTAGCCTTAAATAAAATTTACATAAGGTGGGAATCTTGTTTGCCAGTCTTGACCTCCCCCTCCTTTTAGTGGAAAATTACTAGAAGTCCAAAATGGTGTTTAGTACCAGGTGACATGACCACCTGACCTAGTAGTGTCACAGCAACATCCCAGGACACCTCTCAGGAAGGAGAGAGATGAGTATCTTCAAAATACTCATATTGTTTCTTCCTAATGGCCCATCAAGGCTGATGGCTTGTTGTCTAGTGGGTGTTTCCCAACAGTTGTAATTATTACATATATTCCTATATGTAATATTCCTAACTTTAGATACAGAAATGATACAGGCATACAAATTGGATATTCACATTCAGTAAATTATAACCTTTCCAACAATACCTTACCAGACCCATCTTGCATAAAATATATCTATGATGTCATATCCATATCATAAGCATATTTCCATAAAGAATATGGGGTGTAACGTCACAGTCTCACTAATGCAGTGCACAGAAGTAATACCCTTCTCCTACTTGCTAGTCCGCTGCTTTTGCATCGGAGGATTGTGTTCACCCTTTTAGCTGCAGCATCATAGTGGGAGCTCATGTTCAGTTGGTTTTTGCTATGACCCCAAAGTCATTTTCAGAGTCATGGGTTTACAGGGTACAGTCTTATAAGCGTGACCTACATTCTTTGTTCTTTAATGTATGACCTTGCATTAGTCTGTATTCAAATGCATGTTGTTCAAATGAGTCCACCTTACCAAGCAGTCCAGGTCTGTCAGTATAACTGATCTGTTGACTGGCATTAATTAAGCTACCATCTTTTAATTCTTTTCTGATTGCATCCCATATCAGTCTTTCCATGATTTTGACAAGGATTGATGTCAGGCTAACTGGCCTTTAGTTACCCAGGTCATCCTATTTATCCTTTTCAAATATTGGCACAATGTTAGCTTTTTTTTGGTCTCTGGAACTCCCCCCATGTGCCAAGATTTGTTAAAAAATCAACATTAATGGTTCAGAATGCTCCTTGCTGAATTCCCTTAATATCCAGTACCGCAGATTTAAAAATATTTATTAGTTGCTGTTTAACATCCTCCCTTGTTACTGATGGAATAGCAAGTATTTCATTATCACTATAAGATGTGAATACATCCTCCTTCTTTCTGAATACAGAACAGGAAGTCAGGCTAGATTATCACAGTTGTCCCTTCTGGCCTTGGAATCTATGAGCAGAAATATTTGTTGAACACTTTGGCATTTTCTGCATCATGGTTGATAATTTTACCATCCTTGTCTAGTATCGGTCCTATATCTTTGCAAGAATTTTGTTTATGCCTGAAATATTTAAAGAATCCCTTCTTATTTTCCTGAATTCGACTGGCCACAGAATTTTCATTGATACCTTTTGCTTCCCTTATCAATTGTCTGCATTTCCTAACTGTTGATTAGTACTCATTGCTAGCAGCTTCCCTGTTTTTACATTTGCTATGTATTCGTTTTTAAATTTTTTATTGCTGCCTTCACCTCCCCTTTTAATCAAGACTTTTTTTCAACCAAGAATCCTTCTTTCATGCTAATTTTCCCCCTCCTCACATGCCTCTGTTTCCTTATTAATGCAGTATTTGTCTGGAGAGAGACTCCTGCAGCAGCATCAGGAGGAAATGCAACAATTGCGACAGGATTTCCACAGAGTTCAGAATTTGTGCAGCTCAGCTGAGAAAGAGCTGAGATATGAAAGGGAGAAAAACTTGGACTTAAAGAAGCATAATATCTTGCTGCAGCAAGAAAACACCAAGGTACGTGCACGGTGTGTGCCACAGCATGAAAAGAGCCACCAGGGTACATACACCATGTGTGCTATAGCACTCATGAGCCCAGGGGCGTTTCCACCAGTTTGGGGACATGTGGGAGTTTCATTCCCAGCTCTTTCAGAGACAAAAGGTGAGATGCAAGTTTTGCTCAGTTTCTCATGAATGCAAAGGCCCTTTACACTGCATTGGCAGTAACTTAAAATGGTAGTAAATTATTAGGGCCTCTTTTCCATTGCCAGAGTGGCATCAAGTTGTCTTAACATAAAGGAGACAGAATTTAGCCCAAAGTCTGTAGCATCCCAATTAGCATCCAGCCTGTATCATCTGAGGAAGTCCCAAATGAGGAGGACTGGTGGGTGCTCAGTAATTACTTCGGAGCTGGAGAGTGATAGAGGAGTTGGTGGCCTGCCACCAGATCCAGCTCTGTAATAGATGTAGCTTTACCTCTTCCATGTGCTAGTCAAACACTCACTGATTCATCCTCGCAACTCCCCTGGGAGGAAGTTACGTAGCTATTCTCTTCACTTGTCAGAGGGGGAACCTGAGGCAGAGAGGTTAAGTCTCAGGCCACAGGGGGAGTAAAGGTCAGCCCTGGAACTAGAAGTTGGGATTTCTTCTTTGAGAATTGCCATCTTAGATCCACATTCATGGGATCCCAGTGCAGGAGTCCTGGAAACATGTGAAAATCAGTGACTGTCCCAGTAGAGCTGTAGAGCTGAATCTTGTGAGCAATGGGAAAATCTCGCCCTAGACTTACACGTTTGCATTCCTCCACCTGGCTCTAACGACTGTTGCATTAATTGAAATATCTTCCCAAGTCCAGTATTTCTTCATTGATTTTTCAAGGACATTTTTTAAAGGATACAAAAACCCAACTCTCCTGATGATCCTGGGAGCAGCTGGGATTGGCTACAAAACATTCTGCGTTTGTTTATCTTTCGCTATACAGGTCTGTCGCATCTTACACGCATTTAACATGCACGATTTCAGCTTTATGCGGTCAGCAAAAACAAAAACAAAAAAAGAAAAAAACAACAATTTTAATACTGTACCTGTAGTGCGGGCGATTCCGCTCGCCATTGAACTCAATGTAATTTTGACTATACGCGGTTTTCGCTTTACGCGCTAACCGCGGAACGGAACCCCCGCGTAAGATGAGCAGACCTGTATTGGATTGTCTAGTAACCCTGCCTCCCCCCCCCCCATCAGTCTGTTTTGCTTGAAGCACATGGAAGTCAGTGCTCAATTCTGTACTTTTCTTTCCTTGTCAAACTCAGGTCAAAGCTGAACTGAGACAAGTCCAGTTGAAGTTAACCGACTCAACCAAAATGTGCTCCTCTCTCACAGTGCAATGGGAGCACAGTCAGCAGAAGGTCAAAGAACTTGAACTAGAGCTGCTAAAGCACTCCCAGAGTAGTAAACTGCAGAGCAGTCTGCAGGAGAAACTTGCACTGGAGAAATCGAGGGCTACTGATGCAGAGAAAAAGGTAAATAGACAACCTACATTGCATTAGTATCAAATCTGCATTCATCAGTTGTAGTCTGCAGAAGTTCAGACTAAAAAGCATGCACTGGTAGCTAATGTCTTAGTACTCAGATACACAGTTTGCTAGTTTTTGGTCACTTGTGAGGTTTTTGGAAGTATTTGAAGTGCATTTCAATTATTACGAGAAACACAATGAATATGTTAATATGCAGATCTGAACATCATCTTTGAAATCTTATTTCTGAAATTCAGAATATTTCCCCATTGTTTCCTTGTACTCCTGCGTCTGTACCCACTTGGTAACTCTTGTCCGCTACTTAGGTTGTGGGCCCTTTGGGGCAGGGACTGTCTTCTTGTTCTGTGTTTGTACAGCGCCTAGCACACTGGGGTGCTGGTCCATGACTGGGGTTCCTAGGTGCTCCAGCAATATTAATAATAATAACAATTAATAAAGTGATCTCTGAGTTGGATTAGCAATACGGGGTCTAATCCAAAGCCCATTGAAATCAGTGGAAAGGCTCCTCTTGGCTTTAGTTAGCTTTGGATCAGATCCATACAGAGATGGGGATAAACTCACGCAGAGGCAAGCAAATCTTTCCTACCTCCCCCCTTTGATTTGAATACTATTCTATAAACATTCCATCCAAAAAACTATGCAGACGTTGCAAACTAAGGCCCAATCCTGCAGTTCATGTCATCCAGGTGCAGCCATGTGTCCACCTAGAATCCTAAAGAAGTAAGTGGGGCTGTATGTGGTTGCTGAGCTCTGTCCACATGGGTCTATTTGCAGGATCTAGTCTGTAAGCACTCAGTAGCAGCAAATAATAATAAAGTTAGGTTGCACAGATAGCCTTAACTCTGCCCCGAAGTGCATATGCATTATGGTACCAAGCCTGATTCCTCACTGTGTAGTTACATCAATGTTATGCTTTACACCAATGTAAATGAGAGGAAAATCAGGGCTACCCTCAAAAATGCAGTCTAGTATCTCCCACTGATTCACTGGAGCAGTCAGTTAATCCGGTGTTCTATCTGCTTTGGGTTGCTGGAAGAGTGCACAGCATATTTATGAATCTCACCCAGTATTTTGTTTCCAACCTGGGGAGCCCTGCCTCATTCACTGCTTCCATTCACTGAATTTTTCACTATGCAACTAAATTAGGCATGCACTGTGCAGCTTCACTTTGCTGTAAGCCGTACAAACTTAGTTAGAAAATCTCTTTCCAAATGTACTGCACAGGCTCTGGGTGAGATTTTCATAGGCTCATGATGACTCAGTCACATAAAAATCAGTTATCACTCACAGTCGCTTCTCCTTAGTGAGGGTCAGGAGCTGCCAAATTGCAGCTGGAGCAAGTTTTGAAAAAAAATCAGATTTTTTTTTTATAATGGAGAAAGTGGATTTTTTTACTTTCCATATACACAAAAATGAACTAGTTTTGCTGAAAATTCTCCTCCTCCCTCACTTTCCAAAAATAAAAATACCCCCCCAATATTTTGGAAGAGACCCTCCACCTGGAAAATCTCAGCCTGAAAAATTAAAAATTCAGAAAGCTCTGAATATCTGAAAATAGGGGTTTAAAAAGGAAATGCTGCAGACCCTTGTCTCTGGTCATTGCTAGCTCTTCTGCACGGCTGCCTTTCAGAGGTAGCATTCCTGGCAGGGACACTGGTCTGTCTCTGGTACGGTTTAGTCTCCATTGCACAGCACCATCTACCCTATGGCAGGAGAGAGACACACTCAGATGTCACGGGAGCCCTGTTGTAATCTTTGGACTTCCTGCTTTACTAATTTTCTGTGATGGGCCCTAGCTGTGTGGCCCTGGCTTTCCTCCTCACCTTCGTGAGATCTGTTATTTTCTCCTCTTGTGGGTGTGTTACTCTCTCTTTACTTCTCACTCATTTCCTTCCACTTTCTCCATTTCTTCTCTCTTTACTGTGAGCTCTTCCTTTTTCCACGTTTTCAATCTCACCCCACATTCTGTTCTCTTCTCCTCTCATTCCCAAGCCCCTCTAGCCCTATCACTGCTCATTTCTAATCCCTCTCTCCTCCCACCCTAGCTCAGCCCCCCATCCAGTCCCCCTAGTCATCCAGCCTACTGCCCACCGATAGTGACTGTGTGAGCCACCCTCATCCACAGTAACATAGAATGGTGTGGGGAGCAGGGCCCAGAGACCCAAGGAAGTGGAGTACTTTGCATTTGTCCTTATTGAATTTCATCCTATTTACTTCAGACCATTTCTCCAGTTTGTCCAGATCATTTTGAATTATAATCCTACCCTCCAAAGCACTTGCAAAGTGTACTCTCTATGCCATTATTTAAATCATTGATGAAGATATTGAACAGAACTGGACCCAGAACCGATCCCTGCGGCAGTGCCGTAACAAGGGCGAGGCGAGTGAGGCACTTGCCTCGGGCGCACAAAGGGGAGGGGTGCAATCACCTCCTCTCCGCCTCCGCCTCCTCCCCTGAACACTACGCCCCTGCTTCTCCGAGCCCCCGCTTCCCGCGAATCAGCTGTTCGCGCGGGAAGCCTGGGAGCACAGAGAAACAACCAGTGGCGCGCTCAGGCCCAGGGAGGCAGAGGCGGAGCAGAGGTGAGCTGGGGCGGGGAGCGCAGGGCCGGGTCTAACTTTTTGGGCGGTGCGGCCGGAGGAGCGGGGGGGGCACGGCACGGCCGGAGGAGTGAGGCGTGAGGGGGGGACACGGCACAGCTGGAGGAGCGAGGCGCGAGGGGGGGCAGTGCAGCTGGAGGAGCGAGGGGGGCATGGTACGGCCGGAGGAGCCAAGGGGGGAGTGGCGCGGCCGGAGCAGCGAGGGGGGAGCGCAGCATGGCCGCAACGTGGCAGGAGCAGCCAAGGGGGGGCTGGCGCGCCCGGAGGAGCCAAAGGAGGGCATGGCACGGTGCAACTGGAGGAGCCAAGGGGGGGGCACGGCCAGAGG